AAATTTTTATCATCAATATTATTTTTATTCGTATATTTTAAATCAATATTATTAATTTATTCCTAAATTATAAAAATCAGATATACTATTAATATTATAATTTATAAAATTATCCTTATCTTTATATAGTCATTTATTACAAGCTTCTTGAGCATGTCCTCTTTGACCACATTTTAAACACACTAAATTATTGTCCAAGAAACTTCTACAATTGGTAACTATGTGACCTTTACGTCCACATCTCGCGCAATTCAAATGTTCGGTTAATTCACATTGCCTCGAAATGTGTCCATATCTTCTACAACTGTAACACTTGACTGGCCTAACATTATCTAAATGGCATATCTTATTTTCATTTCTTATAACATCTTTAATTTTTTCTAACTCTTTATTTTCTAATCTTATAAAGGATGTAAATCTTCCTACTATTAATCCTAAAGTAAAACTTAAAACTAGAAATACAAATATAATTATACTTATATTTTCAAGTATTAAACTTAATAAATTTATTTGTGTAATATACATTATAGCGTACTCAATAACCACTTAATTAAAATGATCTTGATTAATCTTAAAAAATTAAATAAATATAAAAATACGAATAAAACCCATACAATGATCCAAAATTTATATAACATCAATAAGAAAACCGAAATTATCAAAAAATTTATATATATTTATTTATATTTTTTTTTACCTAGTTCCAATGTATAATTAGACTGACCTTCGATCTTCTAAAGCTTGGATCAATCACTGTAAGGCACCACTGTACCAATATGGGATTGATATTTATATTGCTGAGGCTAGTGGGAGAGACTGAACATAATGCAATATATATAAATTATTGAATTTGGTAATCTTACTGAATACCCAAAAATGATTCTCTTTTATTTCAAATCTTTTTATTTTATTCCACTTTTAATATACCAAAAAAATTATAATTTCGTAAAAATTCATAATAAAAATAAGTAATGAAAAATTATATATTTCTTTTTCAACTATAATCTAAAATATTCATATTCATAGACATTTTTAAAATAATTATATTTATTTGCATACGATGAAAGTTCATTTATATAAATTTGAATACCACCCAATTAAGAAGGGCTCAACTAAATATATATTTGCATACAACAAATAGTAAGGAGAAACTTATTTTTTCATTATAATTTTTTCAAAATTTTCTTCTTTATTTTTCATTGAAATTAATAGATATGTCCCATATAAGCATACCCACGACACAAATAGGCTGTTGTTACGAAACGTAGGGGTCAGTAAATCTCCCTAAATTAAAAATCTAGGCTACCCTTTGCAAGCTTGTGCAGGGATATGAGAGGTAGAAGCCTTAACGCTTTTATTTAACAAAATCATGATTGAAGGCAAGAATCCAGTGGATTGGAGGGAGAGAATCATCATGTCCACTTACAAAAGTTTAGGTGATCATCAAGATTGCTGGAATTATAGGGGAATAAAGTTGATAAGTCATACTCTAAATATTTTGGAAATAATTTATGTTAGGACACCATGGGATGAAGTTTCAGGTATCCGGAAATCAATTCAGGTTTATACAAGGCTGTTCGACCATTCCGATTTTTGCTCCATTAACACTGATAAGAAAATATGGAGAGATAGGTAAAGAGTGCATATGCTATTCATTGCTAAAAAAGGTATACGATACCATATCCAGACACCTGATATCATGGTGCAGGCGCAAAAGAGGAATCCCGAAGGGTAATGTGGAGCCCATTAGATATAAGTACGGAGATTCTGCACCAATGGTAAGAACGGCCGTGGGAGACTAAAATCGTTTTCCATAGAAGTAGAAGGGTCTGTGTACTCATTCTCGATACTATAACCGAGTTGCAGAGGCCAGCACCATGGTCAATGTTGTAATGACATCGTGATATGCTAAAAAGCTGAAGCGATGCAAACACAGTGAGCCAATGTTTGTGCAATTAGGCTGGAGAAATATGGCCTCCGCGTTGGCGCTTCTTGTATCTGCAACAAACTTTGCAGATGGGTATCAAGGAACTATAAAGTTGAAAAGTTTAGCTATCTTGGCTCTACAATACATCAAGAAGACGGGTTGTCATGACAAGGTCAAATCTAGGATACTGAAGCGTTGTGTGAAATGGAGAAGCATATTAGAAGTGCTTTGTGACAGGAAAATACCACTGTAACTTAAAGGTAAGGCCTATCGAACTATCGGCAGATCGGTCTTTTTGTATCGGTGTGAAATTTGAGCAACATGAGATATCGAGAATAAGGTGTTGGATGTAACCGAAATGAGAATGATTGAATGAAGCCTAGGAATACACTAATCTGGAAGGAGTGCATAATGAGGTAGTATGGATTTATGCTAAGAATGACCAAATAATGTGAATCGGCAAGTTCTTGATCTTGAAACTACAGGGCAATGAGCAAGCAGCCGGCCACGACTAACTTGGATTTCTCATATCTGCAAGGACATCTTTAATAAGAATAATAATCATTCATATGTCGAAAAGCCGGGCCATATAGAAGGATACGCGTTTCAAGGGCCCAAACCAGTTTCGGTAAAATTATAGGCCCGACTCGAGTATCCAGGCCGAGCTTTGGTCCGGGCCTGTAGGTCTGACAATATATCTCAAATATAAAAAAGCGTAAATTTTTTGTAAATGTACTTTTAGGACATATGGTTTAAGATAAATCGTGTTTATACTATTAGCAACGAACTATATTTAGTCTCGTTTATAGCCCATCCTATAAAAGAGGGCAATGATATAAATTTGCTAAACAATGACAAAGTTTTAATATGTAGTAAGAAAACAATTTAGTTTTAAAATATATTGAGGGACACTTCTTTGCCACAATCTAAATTAAAAATAAAACAAATTCTTCCTAGATTCGAATCCAAATCCATGAACGATATCCTTAATCATCAACTAGGACACAGGCTCTAATTTTGACCGATGATTATTTTTGCTTGTAAATAGTGTTGTTAAACGGCTCGTTTTAAGCCGATTTTTTAAAACGGCTAACTCAATATTTTAGGCAGAAAAATATTGCCTAAGCCTCAAGATTTCGATAATATATGTCTAAACCTTTGTTCCTTCTGTGAGCAAAATCTTCAGGCCTGCGTAATATTTTTCTGGATATAATATTGAATTAGCCGTTTTTAAAAATCGGCTCAAAACGAGCCGTTTAACAACACTACTTGTAAAGAAAATAAATCAACGAATAAAATATTTTCCTTAATAGTATTTGAATAATTTTGAAATATGAATCGAATGATTAATTAGATTTATTAATTAATGGTTTAAAGTAATGTCGATGAAAGTAACGTCGTTACCTTTTTTAAGGAAAAGAACGCCATTCGTTGCTTGTAGTAACGAATTTTTTTTTGAAAAACGGCAACAAAAAAGGTTACTTGTTACTTAAAATTTTTTTTAAAAAATATGGAAAAAATTATTGTATTTTATTTTCTATATATTTTTTTTATATTTTATAAATAATTTAAACCGAGTTTTTACTTCAGATTAACCCCCGAAGTTTTTCATTTTATTTTATTTAATACAGTCAAATTAATATTGAATCAATCAAGGTATTTATTTATATTCAATTTATTTTATAAGAATATATGTCAATAGTTCTCATGTTTCCAGATGAAGATGATTTAATTCTGCCCTGGCAAATTTTTCAACATAAATAAAGAAAATTAAGGGCATTAAGTCTACACCTTATAAGTGTGGATTGTGCACATTCAAATAATTTAACCTCTACGTCCAGCAGCTCAAATCTAAAAAAATGTATGAAGGTAAAAATATAAATTCAGATAAAGATTAAAAAAAATTGATGAGGACTGAATGAATACTCACATAAAGGAAGTTGTTTTGAAAATAAAGATCATTCATTAAATATTTTTGATAAACTCCCCAAATTAACATTTTTATTTATTAAATCTAATGCAACCCTCCCATTCTCTGAGCTAGTTGAAAAGTTACGTTGAGCACTGAGCACTCTTGCTTATCTGATCTAAATTTTGAAAATCGCTTCGCTTAGATATAAATAAATTAAGAAGTGTTTTTTCCGGCAATGTGTTATATTTTCAACTTTAAATCATTTTTTGTGGGTTTTTTTATAAATTTAAAAATCTGATTTTACCAGAAATGTATTCCATCATGTTTGGAATACCTACCCTATGAATTTCAGATAATTTTATCGTGAACTTTTGAACTCAATATAATTTATATTAGTTTTTCCATTGATTTCTCATATAAATTGTAAATGACTCAAAAGTTATCGGAATTATCTACGATCATAAGATAGGTATTCTAAACATGCTGGAATACTTTTCCGGTAAAATCAAAATTTAAAAAAAACTCTCAAAACTTGAAAAAAAATAATACATTGCTGGAAAAACATATTGACGTTAACATATATATATATATATATTAAGATTTTTTAAGTAACAAACAATATGTTCCTTTTTTTTCATAAGTAACGAGTAACGCGTTTCTTTAAAATTTAAAAACAGGCCATTATCTAAAGTTTTTTTACAAAATATCAGCAATCCGATATTATCTTCATAGGGACATCAATATTTATATCGATACAACCTTAATAATATAAAAATATTTGAGACAAGATAGCGAAATTTGATTCTTCAATTAAAATGAACCTTTTTAAGGTTATACAAATATTTAATTTAAAAGTAAGCAAGCATGGGAAATATTGTGTTTATAATAAATATAATAGAAACGTTTAAAAAAATTAATTTAAGCTTTAGTAAACTAACTCTTAACATATAAACGTTTGAAATTTTGAAATAATCTAATTTGAATTGTTTCTTCCAACAAATTTTTAATATGATAAGAATTTTAATTAATGATGAAGATAGTATAATTTTTACATTTTTATTCATAAATAATTTTTTATAGAAAAAGGTTCATATAATTCCAAAATATCATTACATAAAATAAATATTGTATTTGTGACAAAAGTATGAGCAACCCTTTAATATTATATAACACATTTTAAAATATAATGCTATCAAATTTATTTTTAAATATATATAATTTATTTATATAAAATGCAAAAATTTTAGTAGTTTAAACATGTATATATATAAGTACAATATATTAAGTGATAATAGCCCCTTTTTAAAAAATACAGATTTGGTCTTAAGAAATAATGGGTCCTTATAAGATGTTATATATATATATAAATAATATAATACCAATGATTAAATTTCATTAAAACCTTTCCAAACAAAAAATCAAGCCAAATGTATTTAAAATTTGCATAATTCAAATATGTTTTTTGGTAAGTATATTTAATATATATATTGAGAGTATATTTTTAATTTAAATCATATTACCTGTAAAGTTATCATATATATCATAGATTTTAGGTATAAAAAAAGTTATTTCCTAAAATAACAATAACTATATTACAAAAAATAAAATCTAGTATTGATTTATCTTAAGACTCTTATAAATGGGAAAGCAGAATTTTGATTGCTAAATAAGGTGACCATGTAACAAATAAGCATTTTTTAAAAAAAAATTGTAGAAATTACAAAGGAAAATATAAATGAATTCTTTTTTTATTAGCTATATTCTATAGTTTATATTGTTTTATAAAAAAAAGAGATCCTGACTTTTAATGAGGTGGGTTTTCTAATTGATTAGCATTTTTATCTAGCTCAAGATTATGAATTTCATTTATATTTTGTTTCTTTGTATTAGAAGGTGGTTTCAGATCATTCTCATCTTCATTATGATTCTCCTCTTCCTTAGATGGAACTTCAATGTTAAAATCAGGAATAGGATCGATGTTTTGATTTAGTTTAGAGTCATCATCTGGATTATTCTTAAGTCCCATTACTAAAAAAATATAAATTCTAGTTTTAGTCTAATCATAATATCTATGTTGTTGCTAATATCCAAGAAAATAAGTTAAAGAATAATATAATTTTCTAATAAGTATAATATATTTTAATAAATTTTAGAATAAATTATTACTATTTTTTTCAGGAAATTTTTGAGCAGATTTATCTTCTAGATTTTTCCTAAACATTTTTCAATATAATAATAAAAATAATATATAAACATTTTAATTCCTTGATCCTTTATTTGAGATAATAAAGCTATATTTTGTTTTGAACCATCTTCAATCTGGTGAGTTAATTTTTCCTTTTCATCTAGATTATGCATAGTTTTATTTAAAAAATAATGAGCATTACCTTTACAACCATTGAAAGAGTTAATCAAATTTTCTAAATCCATTTTGTATTTTGCCTAATTAAAAATAGTCATATAATCAATGATAAACTTATGTGAACCATTTCTTCCTTTATTTTTTGATTATCTTTGGTTAATTCTTTTGTTTCTCTAATTTTAGTATCTAATTCAAGTTTGGCTTCATTTAGGGATGATTCTTGTTCTTTAATCTTATTGTTAGATATCTTTAAAGCTTCTTCCGCCTCTTTAACGGAATCTTTACCCCAATTCATCTCTTGTTCTAGAGAAGTAATTTTCATTGATAGCGCTTTTATTCTTTGTATCAATTCGAGGTTTTGCTCTTCGGAACTATTGTATTTATTTGATATATTTATATAATTGTATCCCAATCCAACTGATAATATTAATAAACACATTGGAATTATAATAGAATTTTTTCCACCACAAATTTTCGACTTCATTCTTGATTCCATCAAACTGGGAGCGTGGAGAGGATAGATGATAATTGATATGAGCCATACGACATATTGACTGAGGGTATATCTGATAAATTTAAAAAACCTTAACAAGCTGTTTCAAGCAATCATCGTTGAAAAATATATAAAATAGAAATCAAGTTCAAAGTATTTCGATTTTCTTTCTAAGATGCACTTAGATATTTTTAATAATCTTTTGTTAAATTATTTATGATTTGTTTATTTTAGGATCATTTATTAATCATCAAGTTAAGATTTCCAAAATAAATAATATTAATAATTATTAATACTTCAGAAATAAGGATACGCAAAATATTTTGATTTTTTCTTCAATTTATGTAATATTTATATAATATTTTTAATTTTATGTTATTTATTCTCATATATTTAATTATAAAAGTAAGTATCTATGATATAAATTTCCGAATCAAGCCATTGCTTAGTCATATCATAATAGCTACGTAACCGCTAGTCATGTCCTGTAAGAATTTATTTATTTTTCAATATAAAAAAATTTAGAATAAAGAAATTTTAATAAAAATAAATAATTTATCTCAGATGTTTGACAACATATCTTTAGAAAGATTAAATTTTATACATTATCAGATAAGCAACCAGTTTTCAGCGATTCAAATATATATGGTAAAGTTAGATGCCTTAATAATTTAATTTTACATATAGAAGGAAAATGTTAGGACAAGGAGAGGTGGTAGAAGCAAATATGTATTTACAAAATCATCTACATTAAAATCCATCTGCAAATTATGTTTAAATATACTTTCACAAAAATTAGCCTCCATGCACAGCTTTTTCTTCATATCCTTATATTCTAACTTAATCCCTTCGGCCATTTTTTCTCTAAACAAGTAAGTGTTTATATTATTTAGTATTATAAAAAATATTTTTAACTATATTTTTAACTATATTTTCATCCATTTGCAATTATCTAGAAAATTTAATCTTTCATTTATTTCATGATGTGCTCAATAATTATTTTAAATATTTTTTTGTTCTTATACTTTCTTACATTTTTGGGACATCATTTTTAGCATATCACGTCAATACCGTGAAACTTTTTCCGCGAAATGCATTGGCGCGAATGTTGATTACCACGAATAGATATTATAGCGAATGCATTATCGCGAATGTTGATTACCACGAATAGATATTATAGCGAATGCATTATCGCGAATGCATCATAGCGAAAACAGTATAGCGAATGCATTATCGCAAAAAAATTATCGCGAAAGCATTACAGCGAATGTATGCTAGGGAATTCATTAGAGCGAATGTGTTAGAGTGAAGACATTACCGCGATTGCATTTTCGCGAATGTATTTGCACGAATGCATTATCGCGAATGCATCATAGCGAAAACAGTTTCGCGAATGCATTATAGCGAATGCATCATAGCGAAAACAGTTTCGCGAATGCATTATAGCGAATGCACTATAGCGAATGCATTATCGCGAATGCATTACAGTAAATGTATGACCGCGAATGCATTATCGCGAATGCATCATAGCGAATGTATTACAGAGAATTCATTATCACGAATGTAATATCATGAATTAATTATCACGTATGCAATACTGATTTATATTTGACAAATGATCGATATAATTAATATAAAGTATTAAAATTCTTTACTACTCATCCACTTACTTCTTAATAAAGTTCATCTTTATTATGTTTTTATATATTAAATATATTGGGAACCATAAATTTGTCACCTTTTGGAAATTCCTAGCTGATAATATTTTTCCCGAGTAATATCATGAATTAATTATCACATATGCAATACTGATTAATATTTGACAAATGATCGATATAATTAATATAAAGTATTAAAATTCTTAACTACTTTTTAAATATATTAGGAACAATAAATTTGTCACCTTTTGGAAATTCCTAGCTGATAATATTTTTCCCGATCTCTATTTTTCTAAAGAAATTCTCTAAACTCACTAATTATATTGTAACTCATTTAGCAAGTTGAGACCTTTTTCAAAAAACGAGAAACCAGCCTAATTGAAGTTTCTATATTTATTTAACGTAGCGTTTTTAAATTTTTGTAACTCTAAAACACGTCACTTGCTATTTATGAAGTTCGTATCCTCCATTTTTTTAAATAATTAGATTAAATCGTATTTTAAAAAATTTGTAATACTAATATTGGACAAAAAATAACTTAAGATCCTCATTTATTTTTATTTATTTAAAATAGGCTAGACGTGTTCCCATTATATTGATTTATAGCCGGACATTCGCCTTTTTTTCAAATATTTTTCGTAATTATAAATTATAATGAAAAACACAAAGCATATTTTGAGATCCGTAAAATTATTAAAATAATAAAAATTTATGTAATTAATCTATCCTTTTTTTTCTTGCATGAACCTGACAATAAACACCAATTTGATATTAAGGGCCATATTTTACCAATTATTTTTTCAAGTTTGTAATTCAAAAGGTTGTAGCCTATTACTTGATAGTTTTTCGATATATGGAACCCGTATCTTGAGGTCTTTTTAAAGCTGTTGAACTGGATTAATATTCCACTTTCTTCTAAAAAATTCAGAAATTAAACTTCTTTCCAGTTTTTCTTCTCATGGCATAATTTTATCATTATCAGATCTTCTCTTGATAAAATAATTAATTTACAAAATTGCCGTAAATGCTTATATTGTTAGTGGCATTTAATAATGAGATTTCTTTGATAATACCGAAATATTTTTATGTTATAGTTTATGATTTAGGAGAAATTTTTAAAAAGATGAGTGTCCCGACTAGATTTTTAAAATTTAAAATATAGTGAGATTATTAAGATACACAATAAAATAGATTTCATAAAAAGAACGATGACGCGTTTCAGAGATATAAAGATTTAAAAACGTAACGTTTTTTAGTCAACCGGTAAATAATCTAAATTTTTGATCTCATGATCAACTTTCTTCCAATAGTAGGGACGACTAGGGCTATTCGGCGTTTTTGTCAAAATCATCAAGCCTGAAAATAATTGTTGTATTTGAATTTATAAAATACTATGAGATAGCCCAACAAACATTTACCTAAAGTTATACATTAATAAATATTTTTAATATTTTATTGATTCTAATAAAAGTTAAATTTTTCCCCAACAAGCCCCAAACCCGGGGCTTGTAGATTCCATTGGTTTATTAAGTCTCTTACATAGATGATTATAATTATTATTCTTCTATTTTTTATGGACTATGTTTTATTGATATAATACATCATTTGCATCTAAATAATTCATATAAAAATATCAAAATATGAAATTTTATTCATTTTAAAAAATGTTTAAGTTTTTAATTATTTTTGGGACTTGGAGAGCACTTTTTTTAAAATTTATTTTTTAAACAAAATTTTTATGCTTTAAATTCTAATTATCTCGGCCGAGACCTGTTTATAAATAATTATGATAATATTTTTGAGTTTCCGGTTGATATTTTTTTTAAATATGCTGAACAATTAATTAGAAGTAGTAATGTTAAAATTATGAAAATGTTTCTTTCTTTATCAGTTTCTATTAGTGCTTTGCTTTAACTAGTAGAGTAGCCAGTTTAAAAAAACTATCAGCAACTAAGCCAGTCTTACATCAATTTTTTAGGAAATTTATCAATATTTAATACTTTGTGAGTTATTTTAATCTGCACTGCCCTGCCTGAATTTCTTTAAAATAAATATTAATTTATATAGATAATAATGGTAATTTAAAATATATGGTTTTAAAATATATAGCCCGGCCAGTGTATTTAAAAAAAAAATTTAGGCTGGGCTCGGGTATATTTGAAAAAATTAAAATACGGCCCGGTCCGTGTACCCGGGCCGGGTTTAAGGCTGGGGCTCTAAGTCTCTGATCTGCGCGTTTTTAATTTCCCTGATAAATGTGATTTTACCAAATCTATTCCGAAGAGTATCTACTCTGAGAATTTCATATGATTTTGCTAAAATATTTTTGTATTTAACAATTTATAATGAAAATCCATATATAAAATAATCAAAAATAAGGTAAGAAAGTTTGATAGGTATTTTGTTGTATTATATTTTGCATTTTAAATAATTATTGCGTTAAATTTTGAATCTTATTTTGCCGGAAATGCATTCCAATATGTGTAGATACCCACCCTATAAATTTCAGAAGATTTTTCATTGAACTTCTTTATATAAATTAAAGTTTATTCATGTCATAAGATTGCCAGAAATTTATAAGTAGCGTTATTAGCCAAAAAATTGGCTAAACCTAATTAGGCTCAGCCGAAAGATCTCTTGGCACTAATTAGACAAAAAGTAGGCACTGGGAGCTCGGCTAATAGCACGTCAAGGTTATGCAAAAATAAGCCTAGCCTTAATTATTATATATTCATATTTATTAAAATTATTATTATATAATTATTTTATATATATTTATTATGTAACGATATATTATGCCTAATTTTTGTCTAATTATTTTTCTCCTATTTTTATGCTAGGCCGTTTTTGAATTTTCTAAAATTAACAAATTACTCAAAATTCTACACTTATTGGTGTTTTTATGGCAAAATCAGATTTTTAAATTTAATAAAACTCACTCAATTAATGATTTTAAATGTAAATAATAACAAAAAATAAAACAATACCCATCAAACCAAAATTAAGTTCAGTTAAAAGATCACTAGAATACTATATAATATTCATAGGGTAGGCACCATAGCTGCCTTGATCAGTTTCTGTCGAAATTATCATAGATTCGAAAATAATTATACCTTGGGGGGGGGGGTGGGTAGCTTCTTAATAAAAAAATTTCCCGATTAAAGCAATATTTTTAATTCCCAGCATAACATAAGGATTTTCATGACCTACGCTTCCTAAGAAAGATATCTATTTGCTAATATATTTTTTTTATAGGGCCTTGCTTTCGACTGTAGAAAGTGGAATCATAGATAATAAGTTCGCTTCTGCTTATTTAATTAATATAATATCCGTCTATGCTTGCTTTTAATACTTTTAAATAGCTATATCCATT